CGCCCCCCACCCCCACCCCCAGAGTGGTGTCACTGTGCAAAAGTGATAGTGCCTGTGTAATGTAATTGTGATGTACATAAATTTGTACTAAAATGTAAACAATCAGTGCGAGAAATAAGAAATAATTTGATTGTAGTCTCATTATCTATATTTTGTCTTTGAAAACAAGTAAAACTGTTTTTGATTTATTACAATACATGTACTAGTCTATTACTTGGGAATTTTGCAAACTTAACAATATATTTAAAAATATCTTAGTTTTTACCTGTACTTACCTGTTACGTTTGTTGAGCAAATCAAACAGCTGTCCACAATAAATTTCGAAAAAGCTGACCCATACTTTAAGATCAGAGCCATATTGTTTGGACTCAATGATGGAAAAGATGTCATGTGACGCTAGGAGGTAGAGTCCTGGTACGTCACGTGTGCCAATCATCGTGTGGGTCTTTCCTGCTCCTGTCTGTCCGTAAGCAAAACATGTTGCACTACCACTGTAGAGTAGAAAGATCATCAAGATAAACATGAAAATTACAAACCTTTAGACACATGTATAATATCATACATACATGCACTACAGACAGATTGTTACAGGCAAATCATCTCCTGTTTCTAGTAAGAAGTCTTCAACTTATCCAACCAATTTTAGCTTCTGGAATGAAGGTGCAACCAACCAGAGTGAAGAATATCTGAAGTGACAGTATCTGTGCTACTGATTTTAGTCACAGACAGATTACCTACCCTGTAAATACAGATTATTCACCCTGTAAGTATATTACAAACAGATTACTCACCCTATGTTACAAACAGATTACTCACGATGTAAGTATAATACAAACAGATTACTCACCCTATGTTACAAACATTACTCACCCTGTAAGTATGTTACTCACAGATTACCTACCCTGTAAGTATGTTACTCACAGATTACCTACCCTGTAAATATGTTACTCACAGATTACCTACCCTGTAAATATGTTACTCACAGATTATCTACCCTGTAAATATGTTACTCACAGGTTACCTACCCTGTAAATATGTTACTCACAGATTACCTACCCTGTTAATATGTTACTCACAGATTACCTACCCTGTAAATATGTTACTCACAGATTATCTACCCTGTAAATATGTTACTCACAGGTTACCTACCCTGTAAATATGTTACTCACAGATTACCTACCCTGTAAATATGTTACTCACAGATTACCTACTCTGTTAATAGGTAACTCACAGATTACCTACCCTGTAAATATGTTACTCACAGGTTACCTACCCTGTAAATATGTTACTCACAGATTACCTACCCTGTAAATATGTTACTGACGAGGGGTCTAGCTGCTCTGACATATACATCTTCATTGCTGCATTTCTCATCAAATACTTCATCAAAGATGAATTCATGCTGCAACAAAAGAGCAATTATACATTTTTGCTATCAAAATTCAATCTTAATGAATTATATATCATACCCGTTCAGGTACAATGTACTGGTAGCTAGTGGTATCAGTAAAAAATAAATGAAATTTGAAGATGGAGTTAAGCAGTTAATAACCTGTTCTCTGGTTTTTAATGGTTTTGGTCGCTGGTTGTGTCAACCGGTGTTATATATTATAAGAAGCAAAAGACACAATTTTAATACGAATATAAACTAATATAAACTAATATAAAAGACAAATGACTGGTTACATGTCACCTTAATCTGACAGTGTCTGGTAACCATATTCATATTTATTCGAAGTATCAATATGATTATTAAATAAAATAAAAAAATACATTAAATGTGAAGATGTCCATGCCAGACCTTGTAAAGAGTCCACAGTACTTACTTCCAGTGTGTAGGCAGTGAGATCCACAGCTTGCTTTGGTTCGTTGACTGTCAGTGTTGTCGTACTTTCTGCTTTACATATGTCCTCCTCCTTGTTCTTAATTTCCCGCTTGTTCATTGGTCGTTTCCTTACACACACTCGTATCCTCTCATCTCCAAGGAGACCCCCTTCGGCACCTCGTGCCTTAGTTTTACTAACAGATTGAGCAATACTCCCGGCTTTAGGGACACCGTAATTATATCCACTTTGTCGAACTCGACTTACAGCTGATTTGCGGATTCGAGGTGGAGGTGGTGACACTGATGCAGCATTCAGATGTTTCTTTGCAGGCTCGTAATCTGAATGTGCCGATCCTTCTGAACTTGATTCATCTGAACTTGAAACTAAGTCAAATATTTCTGCCCTTGAGAGAAATTGATTACCAGAGTGAGCTTGAGCTGTGGGTTGGTTTTCCCTCACCCTTACGTTATTGGTAGCACTGAGTGCATACCCTGACATCTGTGACTGTGCAGTGTACGCTGGACTTCTATTCCGTTTCCGTGCCGAGGATGGTCTGGCCCCTGCATTTGTTCTAGGTGGAGTTACATTAGGAGATTCAGACTGGTGCACAGATTTTATAATATTTATCAGCTCAATAAGTCTCCTTTTATCCTCCGTTGATGTTACACCAATAGCTTCACAGTCTTCCAGAGTGAGTTTTGCCAGTGATTCAGATTTTGTGATCCCATTCACTCGAAGTGTTGGATAATATTTCTCAAGACGTGCCTCCCGGAGACATTCAAACAATGTCCCCATGTTTTTAGGTATCAGGATATCACAGCTATCTTTGAATTTGACCTTTAAATGTAAACAAGATTATAGATTCTTATTTAAAATATGCATATAACAATACAGAATAATGTGTAAGATGAGTTCTTTAAGTCATTGCAGGTGTTTTCACACAATATTGAGCAGTTAAGATGCATGTCAGTTTCATGAAAATGTTGACATTATTATTTTCTTTTAATTTTGAATTCCAATTTGAGATTTAACTATTTAATAATAATATCAACAATGATGTTGTACTTTACTTTTAAACACAAAAAGTCAAAACATTAATAAAGACATTATGGCTTCTGATCTAATTTCATTACAGTATATAACTTGCAGCCTGGTGTTGGAATGCTTTAATTTGCTTTTAGTACCATGTTGTGTACCAGTTTACTTGATTAGTTCAAACAAGAAAGTGTGACTTGCTTAAAATACTAAGATAAAGGGTTACGTTAGATCATGAAAATAGAGCAACAGCAGTGAAATCAAACATTCATCATAAAATAAAACTTCTATATAGGCCTATATGATCTCATTAACTCAACATGACAGATTTTCTACCATCAAATATACATTTTTGAAATGAGACTAAGAAAAACAAACTTACCCTTTTGGACAAATAATAGTCACGTTAGTGAGTCAAATATCTTGGCACGAAGTCCATCTTGATAACTTGAATGTACAATGTGTTCGAGACTTCCTGTCGCGTTTCGAGATGTTGCCTGTCTCAACATGTCATCCAAGTTTTAGAATCATTGGCCAAACATTTAAAGTTTGCATGTCAAAAAGCGGCGATTTGAATGAGATCGGACAGCAGTTTTAGAAATTTTAACATTATCGTTTCCACCTTCACATCTGCAAGATCCATCGAAAGTTTTCAATTTAATCGTGCTTATTTTAGCGGCCTTAGCAACAAAATTTGAAGATTTTTTCATGAACATTCACCAAAAGTTATGCATTTGAAAAATAGAACTCATTATTATAGGTGAAGCCTGTTGAATATCCATATTTCATCGTGTTTCGGAAGAGCGTGTATACAATTCTTAGCTCTAGTTTGTCGTGACAGCTGTTTCATGAATATTTTATACATTGTGCACCGGGTACTGTTGAATTGTTTTCATATGTCCGCCATTTTTAGACGCGACAGGTCGGCAAGGCGCTTTCTAATTTATATATACCGGATATGATTTTCCGGATTTTCGGACGCGATACAAAAAAAACTAAAACTTGTAGATGTAAAAATGTTCTTTAATTTATCTCATGTTTATAGTGTGATGTCTTTTTACTGAATGTTGATTATGATCGTGGAATTAATACTGGCCTCCTCTGCCCCACGCAATATATAATTTATTACAGCTATATTTGGACCTAACAGTTAAACTAAGGTGTTTAGAGCTATTTTACACATTTGGAGGGTTTAGACAAATTTTCGGTAAAAATACCAACCCCAATGATGATTATATACGAGGAAATCGACCCCATTGTCAAATTGATCTAAACCCCCCAAACATGTAAACGTTTAGGTCCAAATATAGCTAACGTAACGGGCAGTAGGTCACTAAATATCATAAAAAAAATTGTTTTCAGGGTTTTTTACTCACATTTTGTACAAAGATAAAATCATGTTGAAATAATTTTCAGCGTTTTTTTATCAACATTAAACAAAAGCTTCAGTGCAGTCTATACATTAGTGGGTCAGTCGGGAAACATCAAACAAATACTTTCTTAATGTCTTAAAACGTGTTGTCCCTAAATGGGAACAGACTAAATAATATTAAACTGTCCCCTTTGACTCCAATATTTACACATACATTCATATAGTCCGCATTACTCGCTTTTATTATATCTTCCGTGTGGAGAGAGTGAGAACGAATACGTCGTAGAGGATTTTAATCACATCTATGATCTACATGGAGTTGGACTGGACAAGGCAGATCGCCGGCGACCAGAAAGCTCAATTTGTGGAGCGCCCATCTGGAGTTCGGAGATCTCTTATTCGAATCCCTGTCTGGCCTGTTGCATTTTCCCTTTCCTGTTACATGCACTTTACCGAATTTTCAAGATACCTTGTTGGCAGACGGTCATACACACACTTTACGAAATAAGGCAACGTTTGAAAAGTGTGTGTGTTGGATTGCAAATATCCTGATTTTTACTTGTTTATCACGAAAATATATTTCTGTATTGCAGTTCTAGTCCAGTTATATAAACACACGTGACTCTTTCCACAACGGTAAATTCAAGATTCCGCTGAGATACGCCGCGGAATGCAAACCGTGGTGATACGTGCATCATATGTATAATATACTTACCGCATACGCGATGTTTTGACGATTGAGACTGATGTTGGCAATTTACCGGGCTATAACATAACACCGGAAATACCGGATTGAGAGTGGCATCTAAGATTATTCTGGAAAAGGATGTCATAGTATCATTAGTATTAAGTTAATAATTAAATGCAGTTGTGTTACTGTCATTATCTTAAAGACATACTGTCATATTTTGTTTTTAACGCACATGGAATTTTTTATGTGTAAGCCCGGTCTTTTCCCTATGGACGCTACGCTCCAGTCTAACTAGGTTCAAATAAACACTCAAACGAAATGGTCAGACTAATGAGATTCCACTGTAAACACAGATTATTGAAGTTCTGCTTACACAGTACACCTGAATTGTCAAGGTTATACTGGGGTTCCTGTACACACAGAAACCATGGTGTCATTTATGAGGTTCCACTATATTCACCGTGAAACCAAAAAGTCCGAACTAACAAGGTCTCACTGTACTCACACACCAAATTGTCTAGGCTTACAATGCCCTACTGTACACATTAAGGCAAAGTGTCCGGACTATTGAGTCCCACCATACACATAGAAACAAAAAGAGTCCGATATAACGAGGTCCCACTGTACACACATACCAAAGTGCCCGGACTAACGAGGTCATAATTCACACACATACCAAAGTGTCCGGACTAACAAGGTTCAAATGTATGCCCATACCAAAGTGCCCGGACTAACAAGGTTCAACTGTATGCCCATACCAAAGTGTCCGGACTTACGAGGTTCAACTGTATGCCCATACCAAAGTGCCCGGACTTACGAGGTTCAACTGTATGTCCATATCAAAGTGCCCGGACTAACGAGGTCATAATATACATTCATACCAAAGTACCCGGACTAACGACGTACCACTGAACACACAAACCAAAGAGTTCAGACTAACGATGTCCTACTGTACACACAAACCAAAGTGTCCGGACTAACTATGTACTACTGTACACACAAACCAAAGTATCCGGACTAACGATGTCCCGCTGTACACACATTCCAAAGTATCCGGACTAACGATGTCCCACTGTACACACACACCAAAGTGTCCGGACTAACGATGTCCCGCTGTACACACATTCCAAAGTATCCGGACTAACGATGTCCCACTGTACACACAAACCAAAGTGCCCGGACTAACGATGTCCCGCTGTACACGCATTCCAAAGTATCCGGACTAACGATGTCCCACTGTACACACAAACCAAAGTATCCGGACTAACGATGTCCCGCTGTACACACAAACCAAAGTGTCCGGACTAACTATGTCCTAATGTACAAACAAACCAAAGTATCCGGACTAACGATGTTCCACTGTACACACAAACAAAAGTATCCGGACTAACGATGTATCGCTGTACACACAAACCAAAGTGTCCGGACTAACTATGTCTTACTGTACACACAAACCAAAGTATCCGGACTAACGATTCCCCACTGTTCTCACAAATCGAATTGTCCGGACTAACAAGTTCCCACTGTATACACAAACCTAAGAATCCGGGCTACTAAGGTACCACTGTATGCATAGACCAAAGCGTCCGGGCTACTAAGGTACCACTCTACACACAAACCAAAGTGTCCGGACTTACGAGGTTCAACTGTATGCCCATTCCAAAGGGTCCGGACTTACGAGGTTCAACTGTAGGCCCATACCAAAGTGTCCGTACTTATGAGGTTCAACTGTATGCCCATTCCAAAGGGTCCGGACTTACGAGGTTCAACTGTAGGCCCATACCAAAGTGTCCGTACTTATGAGGTTCAACTGTATGCCCATTCCAAAGGGTCCGGACTTACGAGGTTCAACTGTAGGCCCATACCAAAGTGTCCGTACTTATGAGGTTCAACTGTATGCCCATTCCAAAGGGTCCGGACTTACGAGGTTCAACTGTAGGCCCATACCAAAGTGTCCGGACTTACGAGGTTCAACTGTATGCCCATTCCAAAGGGTCCGGACTTACGAGGTTCAACTGTAGGCCCATACCAAAGTGTCCGTACTTATGAGGTTCAACTGTATGCCCATTCCAAAGGGTCCGGACTTACGAGGTTCAACTGTATGCCCATTCCAAAGGGTCCGGACTTACGAGGTTCAACTGTATGCCCATTCCAAAGGGTCCGGACTTACGAGGTTCAACTGTAGGCCCATACCAAAGTGTCCGGACTTACGAGGTTCAACTGTAGGCCCATACCAAAGTGTCCGGACTAACTATGTCCTAATGTACAAACAAACCAAAGTATCCGGGCTACTAAGGTACCACTGTATACACAAACCAAAGTATCCGGACTAACGATTTCCCACTGTTCTCACAAATCAAATTGTCCGGACTAACAAGGTCCCACTGTATACACAAACTAAAGTGTCCGGACTAACGAATTCCAATGGTTCCCATGTAGCATTGCAAGAATTAACCTACAAATAATTTAACAACTGATATTTGCAGTATAAGGAACATACTTATAAGTTTTATCAAATATATTATATACCATAACTTATCTATTTTAACTGAGCGATATATTATTTTCATTCATTGTATTTAACAGAGACGTATAAAGTCTCTGTATTTAACTCATTTGTTTTGCCATCCTCGCTATGTACAAAGTAGATAATTTCCACTTGAAACACTGGAGTTATTTTGTCTCAATTTAACCTATATATATTCTAAAATCTTGACCATTAGAAATGGGAATGTTGATTAAGTAATGTTGGTTAAACACGTTTTGATTATCCGGAATTTATTTTTGATTCCGTATTTCATTCTAAAGTTAGTAGGTACCCTAGTGTCGTTCGATACTCTTCATGAATTTACATAACTTTATCTGCACTAGAGGAAGAAGTTCCGTTTGTAAAGATGGCAGGGAAAGAGGTTGTTGCTGCAGGATTTATTGTGTTTCGGTGCTTATCCTCTGAAATTCAGTACCTTTTGCTTCAGACATCGTATGGTCGCCACCACTGGTCGCCACCAAAAGGTCTATTAATTATATATTTTTAAGTGTACGTACAGAAAGACCTCTATTCCGATACAGGGTCGGTACCTGAGGAGGCCCTGAAGAAAATCTCTTCGCGTAATCGTACAGTCGTATCCTTCAACCGGTTTGTCTGTCTTAAAATGTAATATTTCGGGTAGGGTTTAAATCCTGGAGGACCTGCAAATGTTTATGCAGGCCTTGCAAGTCTTTGTCAAGGCTCGCTTGAAAAAAGCATCAAATTACTAAGTCCGACCACAGGAGGCTGAAATGCGGTTGGGATATTTACCGAAATGGACCGGAATGGAGTTGAATTACCGNTGAAATGCTGTCAAGAATCAATAATATAAACAGTAATACGAAAAAAGCATATGCTCCTATTTCTAAGCGATGAACGAATATGGCCCTGGTCTTTCTGTACGTACATGGCCCTGGTCTTTCTGTACGTACAACACTGTTGTAGCCCTAGTTTGTTATGGTTGAAACAATAGACTTTAGACATTCGTTTTCTCGTTATGCACTTTGAAAATTAAATGAATAAACAAAATATATGTATTAGATAAGTAAACCCGTTATATATTTTACAATTATACAAACATGTAGTTGATGTATTTGTGTTTGCAGCGCTGAGTGAATTGTCTTGCCGTTTGTGAACGAATCACTTCCCCTTACTTGCAGTGATAGATTTTATAGCTTTCTGACAGCATAACACAAGAACTAGACGATAAAATATTTAGCATTCAGGGATATGTAATATTTTTAACTTATCTTATAGCTTCTGCTATTGCTGAGGTGTTTTGGGGTAAATTGACTTGCCGGTTGCTTACTCCATCACCCTAGTACAATGACCCCGTTTCAGAAAAGATGCCATTTTGTTCATAATATCACGCCATGAGCAGTCTAGATCCTTAGTTAGAGTAGGGTATTGCATACCAATTTTGAGTCTGTATGCCTAAAGTCAAGGTTACATTTAGGTCAAAAATAAAATACATGGTCCAGGCAATATCTTAACTCACTGATGTAGAGGGATTCATGGAATTATGCAGGATGGCAATTGGCAAAATGATGAGTTGTGTACCACTATAGCTATAAGTCTGAATGCCAAAGGTCAAGGTCAAATTATGATCAAGTGTCAAATTCATTGTCCAGGCCATAACATCTGACTCCCTGAACATATCTTTTAGATATATGTAGGGTGCATAAGCAATGTGTCCCATACCACAATAGGGTCTACACCCAAGGTGTAGGTATATACGTAGTGTGTAATATTTAGGTCAAAGGTCAAATACATTTCTCGGTGATAACTTCTGGCTTGCTGAAGATCGAAGATTAAACGGCAGTTTGTCATACCACCTTTGGGTCTATTCACCAAAGGTTAAGGCCACATTGAGGCCAAAGGTCAAGTCCATTTTCTTCTGACTTGCTGAAGATAGCTCTATTAAATTTATAGAAATATGTAGAATGGCAAAGTGTGTGCTGCATACATACCATTTTGGGGTTCATGTGTCAAAGGTCAAATTCTCATTAAGTTCAAAGGTCAAGCTGTTTGTCCAAATTAACATACGGGTAAATGGTTTGTTGTATACCACTTTTGAGTTCCGTTCACTTCACACAGTTCAGAGATAACAATGGCACCAGGCCTGATAAATTTCAGATCAAATAATGTAACACATAATCTTTATTCCAGTCTGATAATCTTTTTGGAAAGCATAATCAATAAGTTTTACTGTTTTTCTTGTTATATTTCCAAATTGAATGATGTCATTTAATCACTTTTCCTTCCTGTTACAGGTCACGTTGACCCCGGTGAATCTGAGTTTGAGACAGCGTTACGGGAAACAACTGAGGAAGCAGGTCTCCAGAAATCACACCTCGAGATCATAGATAATTTCAAAAAAACATTACATTATCCTGTGAAGGGAAAGTCAAAAAGAGTTGTATACTGGCTGGCAAAAATGAAAGACCCTGAAATGTCTGTGACTCTGTCAGATGAACACATTGACTTTAAGTGGTTGAAACTGGATGAGGCAAATAAACTCATAACACAATTTAAAGACCTGCAAACAGTTCTAGATGAAACAGATGAATTCCTACAAAGTAAATACAGCAATTTGTGATAATATTTGTGAGTTTTCTTTCTGTTTTGACGCGTGTATTCAAACATTGTTTGATTACAACAACACGTTCCAGTTTTTCCATCAACAGAACAAATATGTGTTGCCTACAAAAAAAATCTGTGATAATTTTTAGCTCACCTGTCCGTCCATCAACTTTTCCTTTTAAACCCTACTTTTCATGAACGACTGAGAAGATTTTGACCAAATTTTGGGGGCTGAGGGGCAGGGCCCAATGGGGGAAATATAGCAAATTCTTTAAAATCCTTCTTCTTCTGTAGGAATGAAAGGATTTGTTCCATATTTGGTCTGTAGCATTCTTGGGTGAAGGGAACCAATTTTGTATAAACCGTAGCTCTGGTCCCCCTGGGGGCTGAGGGGCAGGGCAAAACGGGAAATATAGCAAATTCTTTAAAATCCTTCTTCTTCTGTAGGAATGAAAGGATTTGTTCCATATTTGGTATAAAGCATCCTTGGGAGAAGGGGAACCAATCTTGTATAAACCATTGGTGTGACCCCCCAGGGGCCTGAGGGGCAGGGCCAAATAGTGGAAACATAGCAAATTATTCTTTAAAATCCTTCTTCTTCCATAGGAATAAAAGGAGTTGGTCCATATTTAGTGTGGAGCATCCTTGGGTAAAGGGAAACCAATTTTGTATAAATGGTGGGTGGGGCCCCCAGGGGGCTTAGGGGCGGGGCCCAATAGGGGAAATATAGCAAATTCTTTAAAATCCTTCTTCTTCTGTAGGAATGAAAGGATTTGTTCCATATTTGATCAGAAGCATCCTTGCGTGAAGGGGAACCAATTTTGTATAAATCGTGGGTGTGGCCCCCCCTGGGGGCTGAAGCGCGGGGCCCAATAGGGGAAATATAGCAAATTCTTTAAAATCCTTCCTCTTCTGTAGGAATGAAAGGATTTGTTCCATATTTGATCAGAAGCATCCTTGCGTGAAGGGGGAACCAATTTTGTATAAATCGTGGGTGTGGCTCCCCTGGGGGCTGAAGCGCGGGGCCCAATAGGGGAAATATAGCAAATTCTTTAAAAACCTTCTTCTTCTGTAGGAATGAAAGGATTTGTTCCATATTTGTTCTGAAGCATCCTTGGGTGAAGGGGAACCAATTTTATATAAAATGTGGGTCTGGCCCCCCCTGGGGGCTGAAGGGCGGGGCCCAATAGGTGAAACATAGCAAATTATTCTTTAAAATTCTTCGTCTGTAAGAATGAAAGGATTTGGTCCATATTTGGTCTAAAGCATCCTTGGGAGAAGGGGAACCAATCTTGTATAAACTGTGGGTCTGGTCCCTGCAGGGGCCTGAGGGGCGGGTCCAATAGGGGAAACATAGCAAATTATTCTTTAAAATTCTTCTTCTTCCGTAGGAATGAAAGGAGTTGGTCCATATTTAGTGTGGAGCATCTTTGGGTAAAGGGAAACCAATTTTGTATAAACGGTGGGTGCGGCCCCCCTGGGGGCTTAAGGGTGGGGCCCAATAGGGGAAATATAGCAAATTCTATAAAATCCTTCTTCCGTAGGAATGAAAGGATTTGTTCCATATTTGGTCTGAAGCATCCTTGTGTAAAGGGAAACCAATTTTGTATAAACTGTGGGTCTGGTCCCTGCAGGGGCCTGAGGGGCGGGGTCCAATAGGGGAAACATAGCAAATTATTCTTTAAAATCTTCTTCTTTTGTAGGAATGAAAGGATTTGTTCCATATTTGATCAGAAGCATCCTTGCGTGAAGGGGAAACAATTTCGTGTAAATCGTGGGTGTAGCCCCACTGGGGGCTGAGAGCAGTGCCCAAAAGGGGATATATAGCAAATTCTTTAAAATCCTTCTTCTACTGTAGGAATGAAAGGATTTGTTCCATATTTGTTCTGAAGCATGCTTGGGTGAAGGGAAACCAATTTTGTATAAACCGTAGGTCTGGCCCCCCTGGGGGCTGAAGGGCGGGCTCAATAGGTGAAACATAGCAAATTATTCTTTAAATTTCTTCGTCTGTAAGAATGAAAGGATTTGGTCCATATTTGGTGTGGAGCATCCTTGGGTAAAGGAGAACCAATTTTGTATAAACGGTTGGTGTGGCCCCCCTTAGACTTGAAGGGCGGGGCCCAATAGGGGAAATTTAGGTAAAACCTTTATAATCCTTATTCTACCATAGGGATTAAGGGATATTATCCTAATTTAGTCTTGAGCATCCTTAGGCAAAAGGGACTCAATTTTGTATAAACGGTGTGTCTGACCCCTCTGGAGGCAGAGAGGCGGGGCCCAATAGGGGAAATAGAGGTAAAACCTTTAAAATCCTTCTTCTACCATAAAGATTAAGGGATTTTATCCTAATTTAGATGGAGCATCAATGGGCCAAGGGGACTTAATTTTGTATAAGCAGTGGGTGTGGTCTCCAAAGGGACAGAAGGGCTGCGCCAAATAGGAGAAATAAAGGTAAAACCTTTAAAATCCTTCTTCTATCATAAAGATTAAGGGATTTTATCCTAATTTAGTCTGGAGCATCAATGGGCCAAGAGGACTCAATTTTGTATAAGCAGTGGTTGTGGTCTCCCAAGGGGCAGAATGGCGAAGCCCGATAGGAGAAATAGAGGTAAAACCTTTAAAATCCTTCTTCAACAATAAAGATTAAGGGATTTTATCCTAATTTAGTCTGGAGCATCAATGGGCCAAGGGGACTCAATTTTGTATAAGCGGTGGTTGTGGTCTCTCAAGGGGCAGAATGGCGGGGCCCAATAGGAGAAATAGAGGTAAAACCTTTAAAATCCTTCTTCAACCATCAGGATTATGGGATTTTATCCTTATTTAGTCTGGAGCATTCTGGGGTCAAGGGGACTCAATTTTGTATAATTGGTGGGTATGACCCCCCCAGGGGTGGGGCTCTGTTTGAAGTGGTAGGTCTCGCACACGTACATTTGACGGCGCCGTAAGTCGATCTGATAAACTCATTCAAACACCGCATCCAACAAATTTATAGGTTCAGTTTATTTAAATTAGTGTACATGGTTTTCATTTACCTTTTCCAGTACCTTAGAAAGCATAAATTCGTCCGATATGCTTGATAAGAAAGTATAAGTATCGCCTTGAAACACCATGTTGAAGTGCCGATTTTCGGCCTTTCTGATCACTTCAAACGATAGGCCCTATATCGTATCTGACTGTGTACCTTCGTGGTTAGACGTTTTAGAGTTTCAAGTGACCGAGTAAGTTATTTAGCATCGCAGTTATTTAGCATCGCAGTTATGCAGCGGTTTTTAGAACAGCAAACTGTTCAGAATAACTTCGACGGTCGCTTGTATTATAGGTGCCAATCGACGACACGTGCACAGGAATGGTCAAGTTGTGCGAAGTGAAGTGCTCACGATTTATTTCGTTATTTCGTCAATACTGTTATTAATTCGTCCTTTTCCTTTCAAATCTGTTCCACTGCCATTTACTTTTGATATGTGTGATCTTTTTAAATATATTTATATTTCTTTTTACATAAAACATGAATTACGGAAAAATAATTATCAATATATTGCATCACTTAGGCTACTTTTTATTTGGATTTTATCAGTTTTATTTTTAGCTCACCTGGCCCGAAGGGCCAAGTGAGCTTATCCCATGGTGCAGCGTCTGTCGTCCGGCGTCCGTCAACTTTTTCCTTTAAAATGCTACTTGTCCTGAATGGCTCAGCGGATTTTGACCAAATTTGGTCAGGAACATCATTGGCCAAAGGGTTCTCAGTTTTGTATAAACGGAGGGTATAACCCCCCTGGGGGCAGAGGGGCGGGGCCAAATAGGGGGAAAATAGGTAAATCTTTAAAAATCTTCTTCTTCTCAACCAATAGAAGGATTTTGACCAAATTTGTCCTAGAGCATCTTTGGACAAAGGAGACTCAAGTTTGTATAAACGGAGGGTGTGGCCTCTTTGGGGGCAGAGGGGCGGGGCCAAATAGGGGAAGTAGAGGANGGGCCCATTAGGGGAAATAGAGGAAAACATCAAATATCCTTCTCCTTTTGTACCGATGAAGGGATTTTGACCAAATTTGGTCTGGAGCATCATTGGCCAAAGGGTTCTCAGTTTTGTATGAACGGAGGGTATGGTCCCCCTGGGGGCAGAGGGACGGGGCCAAATAGGGGAAAATAGGTAAATCTTTAAAAATCTTCTCCTCAACCAATTGAAGGATTTTGACCAAATTTGTCCTAGAGCATCTTTGGACAAAGGAGACTCAAGTTTGTATAAACGGAGGGTGTGGGCCTTCTGGCGGCATAGGAGCGGGGCCCAATAGGGGAAATAGAGGATTTTTTTTCTCCTACTATACAAGTGAAGGGATTTAAACCAAATGCAGTCTGAAGCATGCTTAGGGAGAAAAGAATCAATTTTGTTTAAACTGAGGTGTGTGGATTCCCCTTCTTTGGGGCAGATTAGTGGGGCCCATTAGGGGAAATAGAGGAAAACATTAAAGATCCTTCTCCTTCTGTACCGTTGAAGGGATTTTAACCTAACCAAACTTGTTTTAGAGAATCTTTGGGCAAAGGGAATTGAATATTTATAAATGGAAGATGCAACTTTGTTACTTGTACTCCTTTGATAAACCTGAATGGTACTCAGCAGGTTTTAAATTGAAAAATAAAATACCAGGTGAGCTATTAAGGCCCCTGGGCCTCTCGTTTGATTGAAGGCACGGAATTAAAGGCAAATAATATCTTAAAATTTAAACTTTCAACCTAGATTTTTTCACGATTCCTGTGTCAAGAAACGAGATAAAGTCTGAAAAAGTCTCTCTTTGGGGAAAAAAGACCACATTATGAATTAAATTATAAACATGATGTATCATATTGAATAGTATTGCACTTCAAAAAATATTAAATATTTAGGGGGCCTATCCGTAACGGCTGGAGGCCGAGAAAGTATGGCCACTGTTTAAAAAAATGGCTACTGAAATTCAAACATGGCTACTTTTTTGGCTACTGATTTTTAAGGTCCAGGGTGAGCCCTGACTGAGTACCCGGTGGATGTCTCCTTTTGGGAGGATGCGGTCCACAAATGGACACAAATGGAACAGGCCTTGTGGAGTCTCCTGGCTTTAGTTCACCTTCTTTTTAGTTATCTGTAAAGGTGTTTTCACATTTTTAGGACCCCAATAACTATTTTGCAATATCCAAATTATGTTCATAAAATACTATTGAAAAATTTATTTCAGCAAAATGTGAAAATCAGCTGTCAAATTTTCGTTTTAATGTATTAATATGATATGTCATGAGGTTCATGTAGAACCATGGTCACCTTCATCATACCTAGGTTCTCGCCTTTATCACCAGAGTGACTGATAGAACTGAAGCCCTGTGTCTAGATTATTGCAATACAGAAATGCTTTGTATTAATTTGTTATATCTATGCTAGCCGGTTGCTACTTCAATGGTACAATTTACGGTTGAAAAGTTGAAGAGTATCATACAGTTATTAAAAGTGATGTGATAAATTAGTATAGAGAAATCCAGTAAAATCTTATAACATCCCCAGAGTTAACCACCTAGTATAAGTTAACTGCTGAACAGACTAAATGGAGTGAAAAAAATACACTTGATTGGCCTAAAGCAGGGTCTTATCACCGTCAGCTTAGCGACATCAAAGGGAGGTAATCTTGTCTAGCTAAAACCGTATTCACCGAACAAACAATGGTTCAACTCTGCCTTCAAAATACATCTTACCTTTTTATTATTCAACTAACATACTGCAGACATACCACAGAATTGACATCTAAAGACATACCTGTGGTGCCATTCGGAGATTGGTGTACCTCCACTACTTCAGTAACTCGGTATGGTACTTTAAAGTTAAGGTTTTATTATTGACATAAAGACAAGTACTCAACATGTTTGGAATTTCATTTATTATCATTGTACAAGTTTGTTTTAAATGAGGTGAAAAATTGACATTCAGACATCTTGTAATTTGCTTCCACATCATAACATACATGTTGTTTCATAAGTACATATCCACAGGGAAACATCATACAGGGCACTAATTAATACATACACCTCTATGATTACGGGGGGGAAACTGGACACCTCCATTTGCGGTAAGAGTTATATCATATTTCTGGATGTCAAACTGTTTAAATATGAGCTGCACATCACAAGAAGCATGCTGAACATTCTAGAATGTTATTATCTGATCCAGCAACACACGTTGAATAGAATGTGTTTAATAAAACCTTGTAAGAGAATATTCAACATTATGACTTAAAATAAATCATTTTAAATTCATTACTCTTTCCTTACTGTATCCTTATGACATTGTTGTTAAGTTGACTAAAGAAGTACAATATATAGTGTCTTAGCAAGGAAGGGAGGTAATCCAGTGGTTTCCCGTTTAAACTTGTAAATAGATTGGAAGGGAGAATCAACATAATGTACAGTAAATTGCAGGTGAACATTTTAATTTGGATTTGGTTATGATTGTATGCTTTGGTAATTTGTTTGGTGATTTACTTTAAATTTTAATTTTCTTCAAACAGTTCATTTTCTGGGATAAACTTCCTGAGGTAAACAAATTTCATAAATATTAGTTGTAATTTTAGTCTGTTGTAATTTGTGTCCATATTGATGGGTTGTACTGAATGTTGTACAGTTGGTGAGATATGAATTGCTGGAAGTGATGAAAGGGGTTTCTGAGTGTTACATTATTGGGTTATTTTGTTGTAGTTGTCATTCATAATTATATAGCAAATTAGACTGTGTAATTCATGTAATGATAGCTAAATGTGAAGAAACAATCTGTTAAATCAAACCATCATGACCAAATTAATTTCATAAGAATAGAACAAAAGAAAATGGTTACAACGTTAACAAAAAGAAAATGTATGATAAAAATTATTATGATTTTATTTTGTGACAGAAAATGTTTGATAGAAGCTTCAGAAAAAAAAATACAAACTGTTGGAAAAGAGCAAAGAAAACAAGAAAACAAATATCAAAATACAAAATACAAAATACAAGCCTGTTCCTCTTACAAGCAAATGAGTGATATGATGAGACACAACAGTCAAACATTCAGCTGAACCAGACTGTCCACATCTATTTCAAATGACTGGAATTGCATACAAGTCAAAAATCAATTAGCCGATGGTAATGAGGAATATCACGGTATTATTATCTGTCAGTTTTAAGTTTAGATATCTTCATCAGATATCATTTGGGAGTCGGTTAAATCGTACTTCTTTTCGATGCCAACCACCCCACAATCTTCAATGAAAACCTTCCTCTTGGGTATGGCATTGACACTGCTTGCAGGGACGTTTCCAAGATGTTGAACAACATCCTGCAACAAACATGTAGACAAGTTATTGGAAATATTAACTGGGTTCGATAATAATAATAGGCTTAATTCAATTAAAGCATGGGAGACAAGGTAACCTGGCATGGGCATATCACCGGTAACTTTGATTCTCTGTTATATAAATATTGTAGTGGAATTTATTTCAAAATAATATAAAGCATAAATGTTTTCTTTATAAGCATGATACCCATATTTCTTTCAACCGATTTCTTTCGATTACTTCGGGGGAAAATGGAGCCCTGTACAATTCACCGAGTGGTTACGAACCTTGTTTACTAAGAGCTATTGATTGTCGTAGTTGTTCATGTATGGAGTACGTACAATTCACCGAGTGGTTACGAACCTTGTTTACTAAGAGTTATTGATTGTCGTAGTTGTTCATGTATATGGAGTACGTACCATTCCCTTGATGACTTTGCCGAAAACCACGTGTTTACCGTCGAGCCATCTAGCCTTGGTCAACAGGATGAAGAATTGAGAGCCGTTGGTGTCTTGACCGTGGTTTGCCATGGAAACGTAGCCAGCGGCTTTGTGGGATATTTCAAAGTTCTCATCAACAAACCTGTCTCCGTAAATACTGGCCCCTGTACGAGGAACAGTTAAAACATGCAAATAAGAATTTTCGAATTAATGACTTGAACCAATCTGATTAAAATCATATGTTACATGGCTTCGTTAACTTCGTACTACATCGGAGCCATGTAACAGATGATTTTAATCAGATTGTGACTTGAACATATTTTAAAAACTTGAGATATTCCACAACATTATGAAAATCACAATTTGCTATCTGGACAACAACTTTCCAATGAACAAACCCAACTCTCTCGAACACATTATATTAACACGCCGAGTACTAATAGGATATAAGCTATGAAACCCAAATATTAAGTCCATAACATTTCTCAAATGCGCTATTTTTCAGTTAATTTTTTTCTGAATATGGGATATCAGTAGTTATTGCTTAGCTGAAGAATTATATAGACCCCGACAGTAACGAAAATTCAGAGTGTGCATGTTCAAAAGTTCTCTTTCTGCTTCGTACCTCCGGTTCCATCCCCGTTTGTGACGTCACCCATCTGTATGATGAAGTCTGGTACGATTCTGTGGATTGGGCTGTTCTTGTAGTGCAGATTCTAAAGATAATGGAAACACAGTTTATAACTTAATCTTTCTACAAAGCGTTCAGCATTACGGGGGAAATAATACTGTAATGTCTTTAAAAAATTCACAATAAGCTAAGTTATTTAATCAATGAAAACACATAAGAACGAGTAAAATGTTTATCTGCAAACTCAATGATATGAACATCAGTGATATTTTAATATACTTGACGCAGTGTATGTATTTTATTATATATTTCAAATTGAAAATCCGTAACAGCTTGAAATCGATCCAAAAAGTGTTGTTTTTTTTTTATTTCTTACAGAATGAGTGAGACACGGTGATTGTGATCCGTCATGCTGTTACATGTTCACTCTATTGAATACGTGACCTCTTTGTCAAAGCATTAACATAAAAATGAATGAGAGAAAGCAATTAAAAGTGTTAAGAGCTGAAATACAGGGCCACAAAAATAGGTTGAAACATATGTACCTAGGCAATCTGACGGATATTGTGACGCCCATTTAACTGGTATGTTATAGTTTTTTAAAGATTTACAAGATAGTGAATGGGACAAAATGTTTGGGCGTTATTGTCTCAAGACGTGGATTGTATGATGTACCTGTGTACGAAACCGTCCACGATAAGGTTCCCCATGCCCACCCTATTCCTCGTTGTATTTATGGTAGTGTTCTGGGATGTTATGTATATTCAACAAGTATTCTTTGCTATCCAAGAGTGCTACTAGTAACAGAATGCGTCACTAGCTTCGGGAACCGTAGCTCTACGTCAGATCACGGACTTAGATAATCTAATTCCGTGGTCAGATCGATTTTATCTTATTTTAAATTTTTAAAGTATGGTTCGATAATGCTAAATTTAAAATATAATACCTAAAATTTCAAAATACAATAAAAATAAAATATCTTAAATTTCAAAATAAAATGAAAACGATCGGAGCTAGTCTAGTTACGGTTTCCGAAGCTACTTCATAGTATACTTGATTAGTGTGGAGCATTCTATTTAAGGTATGAAATTATCTGTGTTTTTTTTGGTTTAAAACTTCTAATTAAGATACGGCATTAAAATGAAAATAATTCCTTATCTTTATGGTCAGCATAGTTTTTAAAACAAAAAATATAAATAATAACGAGAAAATATAAAACTCCATCTACAATATATATAAAATAAATTATTCATCTCTGATTCGACAAACTATAACAAATTATTTATGGAGGGAAATCAACATCTACGTGGCGCTGCACGTGGCAGTCATCAGCCGTACAAGATGTTGCCACTTTACAACGTGACCCGCCCCTCTCATCGCCCCAGTGTCTTTATTCTCTCACAGTTATTGACCGTTACTATAGTATATTGGGAATTCATCACGTGCACCAAATTGCCACGTGTAGTGGTTTGTAGAAATAGGTTCGGTAGGTAGGAAGGTTTATACACATTTTGAAAAAAAAGTGTTTACTGTATATATCAGTACCAAGAGGTGTTATGCTTAAAAGTAAAACGCACACGTGACTAAGCTCTAATGTTAAAATTGCAACAATGTCGTCCAACACGAACGCGATATCAACCACACAATACAAGTCCCTCACAAATGTAATACATGCTTATTATATTTGAATGGTTGGACTTAATAATATGCTGTGGGTATTTTTGATAGAGATTTATAAATAGTGTCCTATCGGAAGGGGTGTCGGGGTTGGGGGTGATTACCTTTTTCCCTCGCTTGTATCCTCGGACTATGCTCTGGAAGTTCATCACTGACATCGGTGCAATGTCACCGAAAAGAGCGATGACAAATCGTCCGTGGTAGTCTTCTTCGTCGTTCATTCCCTCTACCACCACATCAAACCATACCTCCTCTGTGATCGTGTTCCTCATCTGAAACATAGGGTTGTATGTACTTCAAATTTTCGGGAATAAATGATTCGAAGATATTTACAGTATCAATTAACTTTACAGTGTCAGTCAACTTCATAGTACAATATTAGTTAGTTTTACAAAATCTGTCAACTTTACAATATCGGTCACAACTTTACAATATCGGTCAACTTTACAGTTTCAGTCAATCTGATAGTATATATTAGTCAGTTTTATAATATCTGTCGTCAACTTTACAATATCTGTCGTCAACTTTACAATATCAATCAACTTTACAGTGTCAGTCAATCTGATAGTATATATTAGTCAGTTTTATAATATCTGTCGTCAACTTAACAACATCTGTCAACTTTACAATATCGATCAACTTTACAGTGTCAGTCAATCTGATTGTTTATATTAGTCAGTTTTAAAGTATCTGTCAACTTTACAGTATGATCGGGCTTTATAGTTCATTTACAGTGTCGATTAACTTTACAGTGTCAATCAACTTTAAAGTACATTATCAGTTAACTTTATAGCACAATATTAGTCAGTTTTAGCGTATCGGTCAACTTTACAGTATTAATTAACTTTACAGTATCAATTAACTTTACAGTATCAATTAACTTTATAGTATCAATTAACTTAATAGCACAATATTAATCAGTTTTAGCGTATCAGTCAACTTTATAGTATAAGTCAACTTTATAGCACAATATTAGTCAGTTTTAGCGTATCGGTCAACTTTACAGTATCGATTAACTTTACAGTATCAATTAACTTCACAGTATCAATTAACTTTATTGTATCAATTAACTTAATAGTACAATATTAATCAGTTTTAGCGTATCAGTCAACTTTATAGTATAAGTCAAATTTATAGTACAATATTAGTCAATTTTACAGTATCAATCAACTTTATAGTATCAATTAACTTAATAGTACAATATTAGTCAGTTTTCCAGTATCAATCAACTATATAGTACAATATTAGTCAGTTTTCCAGTATCAATCAACTATATAGTTCAATATTAGTCAGTTTTAAAGTATCGGTCAACTTTACAGTGTCAATTAACTTTACAGTATCAATTAAACTTCACAGTATCAATTAACTTTACAGTATCAATTAACTTCACAGTATCAATTAACATCACAGTATCAATCAACTATATAGTTTAATATTTGTCAGTTTTTCAGTATCAATCAACTATATAGTACAATATTTGTCAGTTTTTCAGTATCAATCAACTTTATAGTATCAATATTAGTCAATTTTAAAGTATCGGTCAACTTTACAGTGTCAGTCGACTGTATAGTACATTATTAGTCAGTTTTACATCATCTGTCAACTTTATAATACAAAATTGGTCAGTTTTAACAAGTTAACTTTATAATGGTACTTTAAATCATTTTACGTTAGATTAATATCTGCCAATATTCCATTATATTATCGGCGAACTTCATCCGGGTATACATATATACTAGGTAGAAGTTGCTTTCTCTCCTATCTGACTAAAGTGTTTGTGCTGAACATCAATTCATGTGTCGTTTATTCTTACCTTCTTTTTACTATCATCGTCGTCGGCGGAAATAGTTTTGCTAACAGCGACGATCACTAATAAAAGCGACGCTAAAACTTTCAGACTTGCCATCGTTGGGCTGGAACAAGGAAACAAAAAATATCGAGATAAACATCGTATTAATTTAATGCAGGATATTGATACAGCAATCAGTGTAACAGTTACGTAACACCGTCGTTTCGATGAATACAGTAAGGCGTGAACGTTTAAAAGAGAAACATTTCTTTTCGTTACTGTCCATTTTGGTATAAAAACAACTAATTTTGCAAATGCAATTATAATAAACACTAAAAATCATCGACTGCAATTAAAAGTTTGTAACTTGTTGCACAATATAGAATAAAGGGAAGAATTCTGCATTAAAAAGAAATACACCTATATTCAATAATTAAATTTAGTATATGATTATTCTTACCTTGCTACGGTATGGTTAAATCCACCTCGGGTAACTTGTTCAAATCTTTGTGGACGAAATAGAACATTTGTCTGCTTTTTATATCATGTATTGTCCACGAAGACAGGGACGTGGCTACTAGTACGGGGGTCTCTGGGAGGTTTTAAAAAACGTGAAATTATTTTAAAATTAAATTGAAATTTCATAGGTATCTGTTTTCGATCATTGACAATCACAAATAAATAGGAACATTGCAATAATTTTGTTTTCATAAAAATGAAATTGTAGGAACAAAACGGAAACCGAAAACGATCTTTAAACGAGGATACAATCCTGTCTTGTGCCCCTAGGACAGGTTTGTCTCAGAATGCCTACCTGATACACGTCGGCAGGGCATCAGCTGGTGGTCATTGATTGACAACACATCATCATCAACGTGTCCTAAGATCAGTTTATCTCAGCCCAGCTGCTGTATCTCCCGAACACAATGGTGTAAATGAAGCGGTGCTTTTCTATACAGTTGTTCATAGTTTACATGTGTCAATCTCTAACTGTTTGTATTGTATTCCGTAAATCTATATTTTGTTCGTGGTTATTTTAATCTTATTAATGTGTAGCTTCCATGTGTAACTTGTTTGGTCATTTTTTTATTTTTTGTTTCATTTGTATTTTCTTCCAACTTTGTATACCGTATACGACGTCAGTTTTTACTTATTTGGTTGGTCTTTTTTTAAAACGTTAAAACATACAACTTTTATTACTAGATCGTAAATTGTAAAATCAAATGTTCTTTTTATATTTTACAAGATTAGTGATAAGCTGGATTACGAGTTTCAACCTGTACAGCTTTTCCTTTTGTGATTTGGTTGAATTGTCAATAACCACTTATTTGAATGCAATGTTACGGTTTCCTAGGATTTAGGTTATTATAAACCTCATTTCAGAATATATAATTTTTGTTGGGGAGGGGGGGGGGGGGGAGAATGAGGACATATGAGCTGTTGTTGGGTGTTAGTATTAATGAATGGGTAATTTTAAGGAAGAGGATTATTCATTCATATCTTTATTTCCTCCAAAATAATAAGGAGCACAATGTGGATGAGAACGGTGAGTGCAAGTGACACGAGAACAACAAAAAAATGGTGCAGACAAAAATTGAGATACACTTGATATTAATATCATTTCATAATCACATCTTGAAAAAATGTAAAGACACGTTATAAGTCAATGAAAAGTGGTTAAAGGAAGACTCATTGCAATGACTGCTACAAAATTAGCTAGATTTATTGGAAGGTCATATGGAACGCTTTTTCCGCAAATATTAGGCAATCTTTGATAAAAGACGTGAGCGATTTAACATCGTCATTAAGAGTATCACAAATAATATCGCTTGGAGCACCCAGCAGAGTAGCCACATGGACTTCTCTGTCTGACTGGTCAAAAGACACATAAACATACACAGGATATTTATTTACAAATTCGTCAAAAGTGTATCCCGCAAACTTGCTAATTCTAATTCGCCGCAGTCTAACAAACAATGGGCGACTGCGTCTTCAAAAGTACTCTTGCAATTAGCGCAAAATAGTTCGCAATCCGGTGGAGCAATCCACATTTTGGAAACAGTTTTGCAAGTTCCAATAAAAGAAGGATGACATTTTGAAAAGTACCAGATCACCGAAGGTGTCATTTCATGATGAAGATTTTGGAATCTCGAAAAATAAGACGAATGATTTAAACGAGTTTTCCAGTCTTCTAATTCTTTATAAAGAAGAATTTTTTTAACTACATTGTAGATGTTTCCAACGTATCTTTGGAGGAAAATTACCCGACTGAAAAAAATAATTTAAAAAGTCATTGAAGTTGTACTTATACAGTATGTCAATTGCATCAACAATAAAACCTTTTTTTAGCTTTATTTACACCAAGGCGATATTGATACAATCGCAATGAAAACAGCAGTTTAGATGTACAATTAGTTTTGGTTCTACATAATGCCGCAAAAAAGCGAAGCTTACATTGATCTACATGTAAATGAAGCGATGATAAACCAAGCATACCTAATGCGATGTCAGATCTGGTCCTTAGGGGGAAATTTTGAATAAGTTTGGCACACAAGTGATGTACTGATTCCAGACGACGCCAATCTGAGTTTGTAAGTGAGAACCACATCTCACAGCCAGACATGCTTCGAGGGAGAACAATAGAGAGGTATAGTTTCACTCCTGTTATAGGGTTGATGGTGGGGCTGAATAAATTACAATTCAAAAGAGCAAAACATTGACCATGTAGTTTGTGGATAACTTCAACGACATCAGGGCGACCTTGTTTAAACTTATTTATACTGATCCCAACATGTTTAACATTTGTACATTCAGTGACGTCACTGTCGCCTAAGTGCCACCTACGGTTCGACTGTGAATGGTTACTAGTTCGTTCGTTAAAAACAATAATTACTGATTTGGAGGGGTTGTATCTAAACCTCCATTTACAGCTATACTTATAACATATATGCATGAGTAAATCTAAATTGTGTTTAGAAAAAGCAAGAAGACATATATCGTCTGCCTGTGTTGGGCAAGTAATGTTGATACCACAAATACTCAAGGAATATTGAGAATCACAAATATCATTCAAGAGATCATTAATATAAACAGAGCATAACCAAGGGGAGATAATACTACCCTAACGGGTTCCCTGGCATATCTTGAACATTTTCGATACAAAGTTTTGATGAATAACAACACTAAACATATCTTTATACAAGGACATATTTACACATACATATTTCCGACTGAAACCCAAACGTGCGAGTTTAAGAAACAGACCGTCATGCCACACACAGTCAAAAGCTTTTGAAGCGTCTAGGAAACATGTAAACAACTTGCTATCATGTTCACTGGCATACTTAGTCCGAATTATTCTGACGTTTTATTGACTTTTTTCATATCGGTCTGTCGTCGATTAACGTCAGAACTCCGGCCCTCTATAATATGCGGGAAATATGCGACCCGCGCCCGGAGCGCACTTCAAACTGATATTTTAGAAACAAATCGTCACTGTCACACACATGTCGCACATGGATCGAAAGATCTATTCTTTATGCACAAGATGAACATACATAACATGCCTCAAACAACTAATACAATCACTAAAAACATATTTTTTCAAACTTACTCTGTTTTACTCTAGTTTTTTGATAGCCCCGCCTTCCAATGCCACGTGACTAAAATCTCGCCGGCCTACGTCATAACGTTGGGAAATACCTTCGGTAACGCGAGATCTCGTCAAGTCATGTGACATTTCTCATGGCCTAATTTCCATAAAAAANTGTGCGACATGTGTGTGAAAGTGACGATTTGTTTCTAAAATATCAGTTTGAAGTGCGCTCCGGGCGCGGGGCGCATATTTCCCGCATATTATAGAGGGCCGGAGTTCTGACGTTAATCGACGACAGACCGATATGAAAAAAGTCGTTAAAACGTCAGAAAAATTCGGACTATGGCATACTCAATGGCTTCATGCACAATATATGAAGTCATGGTACTACTAACTTGTTTTTGGAATCCATGTTGTGATGGATTCACGCAAAAAAGTTCTGAATTTTCTAATCTTGTCAGTAACAGTTTTTCATAAACTTTTAATATGACTGATAAAAGCGAGATTGCTCTATAGCTATTTGGGTCAGTCTTAGGTTTGTTATGACCTTTATATAATGTGCATATCAAGCCTTGTTTAAGAAAAGTTGGTACATATTCTAATTTTGCAAAAGCATTAAACAATGTGCATAAGCATTTATACAGAGAGTGGCAGGCATATATAAGGTTTTCATAAACAAGTGAGTCTACACCGGGTGCCATTCCATGAGGAAGACTTGTACAACAACATTTAATTTCCTCAACCGTAAAAACTATCGCAGCTGAATCTTCCAATGGACCATTACCTTGCAGAAAATCTGAAAGTTCAGATTTTACAAAATCACTGTCACAAAAACTATCATCTGAGTGAGAGTAAATTTCAGCAAAGTACTCCCCCCAGCACAACGCTCAATCCGACGGATCTCTAACAGTTACATTATTAAACACCATTTCAGCTCCGGCAGATCCAGTGGACACTCTATTAGACCGGGCTTTAATAAGGGACCAAAATGAATTTAAGTTTAAATCTGCTGCGTCCTCAATATCTGAGTTCAGATTCAAAAGGTGTTCCTCTGATAATTGGCGGTGCTTACGACGAAAGTCACGTTTTGCGTCCTTATACATCCGGAAAGAATGGGAATCGGGATCACGAGGCCGACCTTCGTCATCCCAAATACACCTTAACCTCCACATCTCATGGTGTAGCCCTTTAAGTTCACCCTCCCAATAAGGCTTTAGGAATTTCTGGAACTTCCGCTTTTGAAGGGAAGCTAAATAGACGTCCTGTAAGCATTTGATCAAACGATCATTAAAAATGTCAATGTCGGAGGATACTTTTAACTCGAGAGAGTTAAGGTTTGACTTCACAATAAAACTATGAAGGTTCCGTTATAAAATGCTGTACCTGCGGAGGGGGAGCCATCAAGTGAAGTCTGAAAAGTCATTTTAAAGTGATGCGTTCCATTTGAGGACTGTCAACTTGGGACACGGTAGGAAAGGAGATATCACAGAAGATAGGTATGTGATTTGAGACGTCTAAGTAATCCTGACTGCCATGACAGTTCGAGATAAGATCAAGTTTGGAAGAGTCAACAATCATATGATCAATAATCGGGTGCACGTAAGTATGCAACAGACCGGAACAAATGAACGATGTCGTTTAAGCACACAACTGGTGACGATCCAGGCACCGTTGAAGGCGAGCAGCTCTGTTGTTTTGATAGTCGTATGGTAGGCGAGGACCACTAAGGCGAGCGTTGCAGTCTCCCATGATAATGATTGATCCTTGAAGAGAAAAAGACTCGCACAGAACGTCTATCTTGTCGATGTGTTGGTTAAAAGCTTCAGAACCATAGCTTGTATTGGGTAGATATACCTGTATAACATGCCACACACCGGAATTAGAAACAAGCTTTATGATAGTGATGTGGTCATCGTCTGAATCAACAACAGTTATGCGGTTCGACAGAGTTCTTTTCCATAGAAGGGCTACCCC